ATATATATATATATATTGTTGTATAAATTGCATAATTCTCAGTACAAATGTAGTAAATGTCTCTTGAGTTTGTCTGAACACGATATTCCAATCTAAACTGTTGATTTGATAGTCGCTGAGAAGGAAAAACAAGGAAACATTCAAGGAAATGTCTGTTTTTCATTTTTTACTTTTTATTTCTAGGAGAAGTATAGTCTCAGGTGTGGAATATTGAATCAGGAGACTTATTCCATGAGTATTCACTCCCGAAGTGGAGATATGTTATCTTAAAACGTTTTGCTCTTGTCTTGACATTTTAATCGTTCTCATATGGCTTCATTTTGCAGTTCTTCATTTTTCATGTAAAATTGCAGGAAGCTGTCTCTTCATCGCCACCTCGACAATCCAAGACACTGGAACGTTTTTCTTCCCTGCCGCACACCTTTTTAACATATGCGTTATAGACAAATCCACAGCGACCTTAATGCTATTTCCAGCCCGGATCCTTTGATAAAGAGATATAGCGCAACAATTCTGCAACATTGTCTTGAGAAAGCAATTCCTCAGGACGTCACAACAATTCCTAGCCTCATTTTTCACAACTGGACAGAAAAAAAAAGGGAGGGAGAGGGGGGTTGAGAGATGATGGCTGGCTCCTGAGGTGACGGTACGAATCATAACCCCTCCCTCTTTATCTACTCCAAACAGATATATGCACAAATCTATCCATTTGTATGTGGCTGCAGAGAGCTGTGGGTGGAATATGAACGGATTAAGAAGAGTCTTTCATTATCTTTCAGTCTTGATTCATCTTCTTCCTTTGAAAATAGGAAAAAAAGTTACAGTCAGCCAAACTTTTAACAGAAACTCTGGTTGGATAAAGATTACAGCTAAAGTGATCGGCCTACTTAATGAGATGGTAACCTTTCCTCCTAAAGGGAAACATTTGGTATTTTCTGATCTATCACGTTCTCTTGATATCGCTCTCTTTAGTCTGCTTTGTTTTTTTACATGCCTTTAAAGGGGTCATATGACGTTGCTAAAAAGAACATTATTTTGTGTATTTGGTGTAATGAAATGTGTTTATGCGGTTTAAGGTTGAACAAACACATTATTTTCCACATACTGTACATTATTGTTTCTCCTCTATGCCCTGCCTTTCATCGTTCTGAAAAAGCGAGGTGTGCTCTGATTGGCCAGCTATCCAGTGCATTGTGATTGGCCGAATTCCTCAAGCGTGTGACGGAAATGTTACGTCCCTTACCATATTGTGATGCCTGCGGCAACCACATGTGACGACCCCGGGCTGGACTCCGCTTCATCCACGGTGAAAGCCGATCCGGCGATCGACAGCGTGAAGTTGATGTATTTCCTCAGCAACCAGCACGGATCAGCTCCAGGCATGAAGAAGCGATATCGTCCTCTTTTGGAAGGCCAAACAAAGTAGTTTCGCTTTCACAACGAAACACAGCGCCTTCACGACATGGCGACGGAAACAACAATACTACAGCGAGAATAAAAGTTACGCCTTCTTTCTTTGCGTGAACATTTGGGCGGCGTTATGCAAATCTTCCCACATAGTGATGTAGATATGTGGGGGCGTGTTAGAACGAGCCGTTTTAGGTAGGCGTGGTTGACTCTTAACTTTTATAAAGAATATTTCTTTGGATTTGAGACTTTAGTCTTTGCAACTTTACAGATCTTCTTTATGCACCAAGAGCTTGTAACACTCCAAAGAAAAAGGAAAAATTGAAATCGCATCATATGACCCCTTTAAAGCTAAAAGAGTTAAATGAGGTGTCTGGATATTGTCTGAGATGTTATAGAGGTCTGTGATCTGCAGTTCAGTGTTTGTCTGCGAGCATCTGGCCTTGCTGTCTTTCATAACAGGAAGTGACACGTTCCCTTGACGTGCATCCAAGACATGTTGATATAACAGGGGCAAAGGAGTGCTCAAAGAGCATGGCTGTATTCCCATACCAAATATAAAGGTGTCTTTCTTTTTGAACGTTTTGGCCTGAAAGTCCCGTGACTGTTAGACAAAGAATATTTGTTTGTGCTCATTGTGGAATTCATGGGTCATTATGATAGATCTTTGGACACTTTTAGCTGTCCACTTTTATCCTGTGTCATGCTACATGGTACATTGGGGAAATAAAAAAAATGATGAGTTGAAAGTAAAGCAAACTAAAATCCAGAAACAAACATAAAACGCTAAAGATTCATCTATATCTTACTAGTAAAGAAGCATTTGAATTTGAGCTCCTTGCTGGGTATTTGTGATTTTTCTCTTTTTTTCCCCCTCAGATTTACCATGGAAAATTTTGGAACATTCCCGAGAGCCAAATGTTCAGTTCTCTTGATTACCTGTGATCATTTTTAGACAGTGTGTCAGACACTACTTACTGAGATTTTAATAGACATTCTGTCTTTTCTGAACTCCATCAGAAACCTTTTGGCACCGAATTTCTAGATATGACAGGTGACTGAAATATTCTGTCTCTTGAACATGGACCATGGTCAAAGTAACAATTTCACAATGGAAAAAAAAAATCTTTCAGAAAAAGTTTCTGGTGCAGCCTTCGGTTGGAACGAGTTTTGCTGAAAATGACAAAATCCAAGAGAGAATGGGTGGTTAGCTGTTGTGTCGTTGTCAGTCAAGTTCTGTCGTAAATCTGTGTGCAGTGGTTTTAAAAGGAAAAATCCTGACTCGCAGATGACAGCTTAAACCTCACAACAAACACTAACTTCACTGTAGATGCTCTTCTGAAAGTTTAATGAAGTTGTCATAAAGAAAAGGTGTTTGTCCAGCATCTGTCCTCTCCAAATAGTCAACATATAAGATGTTTTGCTATTATTTGAACTGTGGAACATAGGTATTTCGAATTAGATTTCTAGCTAACATCCATAAAACCTGAGGTTTTCTTTTCAAAATCATGAAATTTTGATGTTTTAGGGGAGTACAGTTTACTTTATCAGGACTGGTTGTGGCTCACAAACATGGCAGTTTAACTCTCATGGTTGTAACAAACTCGAACTCCACTGTACAGTAGATGCTGTTTTGAAAGATTGGTGAATTTGGTGTTCTTGTTTGACCTTGTTTGTCCAGCCTTTACTGTCCTCTCCAAATAGCCGACATATAAAATGCGAGTATTTGAATTGCAGAAAATAGGTGGATTTTGAATTAGACTTCTAGCTAACATCCTCAAAATTTGAGGTTTTCTTCATCAAAATCTTGAAACTTTGAGGCCTTAGGCGGATGCATACAGATTGTTCTATCAGTTTTGCTTCAGGACTCAAATTTTACATTGGGCATCAAGTGTCAATCAATCATTAAGTGTTTAATGCAGTTTTTTTTTCTTTTTCTTTTGCATAGTTTTGTTCATAGTTTTTGTAGATGAGTTCATATCACACATCCGATTCATATCTGGCTGCCTGTTAATAATTTTGTATCACTATTTTGCAAGTTCCTTAGAAAACTGCACCTTTAGAAATTGTCTATATCTGAAACTATGATTTGATCAACTCAAATTTTGGAGATTGTTTCATTATCACATTTTAAAATCTACCTAATTTTGCATAGCTATATGCTTAGTTGCACTGTATTATTTCTTGCTCCCGTCCTCAACCCAATCAGAACAGATCCTTGACCCATTTTAATGTCACAACCCACCAGCTGAGTCATTGATCTCTAGAGCACACTCTAGAAAGTTTTGATTTATGACCAATCATAAACCCTAAGCTTATACTGCTTTTCTCTTATAAAAAAATTAAACATGACACCTTAAAAGCACAGCAAGCCACATGTCTGATTATTCTATAATACTTTTCATTAAGTGAGTAAATGTGCAATATACCACACTCTAAAAAATGCTGGGTTAAATACAACCCAGTGCTGGGTAAAATAGGGACAAACCCAGCAATTGGGCTGTTTTGACCCAGCGGTTGGGTTAAATGTTGAACCCAACCTTCTGGGTAGTAACCCTATTAAAGTAGTGCACCCTATTAAACTCTTTATTCTCCATTTATCTTTCCAAACAGAAAGTTTAAAATCAGTGAAAGATAAAGAAATGCAATGCAAAGATGCGAAGACTATTACTTGAGCATCAATGCGAGCATGTCAGGTTCATGCGCGTCAAAGACGAACCCCCCCCCCCCCCCCAAAACTCTTTTGGTGAAGTTGGCAGCTCGAGGCAGAGGGGCTTTACTCTCGCGACTCTGGAATTATGAACAGCGCTGGTCCGACCAGCATCTTTTTTTGAACATTATTCTCACAGATCTGAGACCATGGAGTTCGGGACCCGCATTTTCATCGCATTCCTCGTTTCCCAGGTAGGCGCGGGAGGTTTCATTCCTTTATGTTCAAGAATATCGCTCGAGCTGGATCTTAGTTTTTTTTTTTTTTCAATTAATTTATAGTCGGGAAAATTGTGAAATTAATTTGTGAGCGCATTGCATGGTTTTACAACAAGTTAAGCAGAAAGAGTTGCACTGAGATAATACTTAAAGCTGAATGCCATGACAAGCAGAATAGAGATCAGTACATGTTATTCTTTATTTCTATTTATTTATCACAGTAGCGATGTCTCGGATGCATCGAACGTTTACTCTAAGAACGTTTACTGTGTGATTCAGTCTAATGCATTGGGTTCAGGTGGGTGCAAATCACGAGCAAACTCAGTCTCAGATCGCATCTACATTCCGCTCAGCTCTGAAGTTGTCCGCTCCTTTGGCTCCCTTCATCAGAAGACATTCACACGACGGGCTGACTCACGGAGCCCTTCTCCATTCACTAAAGACAGCAAAGAATCCGTAAATGAGCGAATAAATAAACGATTCAAGACTAAAACAGTGCCTATCTAGTCATCTGAGTTCGCTAAAACTAAATAAACCATTTACGAACAAATAAACAATTAACGGTAGGCTAAATTAATTATCCGCTCACTACAGAAAGCTTAAACAATCAAACAAATAGCCTACGTCAAGAGATTATAACGACGAAAGAGCCGCTGTATTCACTTAAAACTAAATAAACGAGACCAATAAATATTAATAAATAACCAAATACAAGTGATTGACTGCGTCTCTCTTTAATCGTTTATCACTTAAAACGGATGAAATGAAAGCATCGAAATTGGTAAACAAACTAAGACTATTAAAACAGCTAGCTGAAATCAAATAATGGAGCCAAATTCACTCGTAAAGAAGTAAATCTATTCCGTTTAAGGCGGTAGATGTTTTTTCAAACATTATAGCTGGTTTAAGATGGTCATTAGCTGGATCAAGTTGGATGACCATATTGGAACTACAGCTACATACAAGCCTAAAGTGGTCAAGCTTGCTATTGGAACATTGAAGATGGTTAACCAGCCTCCAGTGATCTGCTTGCACTAACTAAATCCAGCTTAGAAACTAGCTAACTATCAGCCTTTTAGGTTTGACTTTGGTTACCTGAGGCTGTTAATACTAATGGACAGGTAATATTGTCATGTTGTTTGCATGTGCATTAGATAGTCAGTGGTAGTCAGTTGGGGGTGAAGAAGACATTATGGCCTCCTGCATTTAAAATGTTGATGGCTCATTTGAAAGCCACTGCTCAACAGTTAATTCCTTGTAAAGGATAATGAACAACAGGTGTTGTGGTGGTGGTTCTTCCTCTCACAGATTAAATGCCATTATTTTTTGAGAATATGATTTATAATGCTCAACACATCAAGTCGTGATCAAATGGCACTTTGAAGATGATATGCATTTGATGGACGTGTTTTCGGTTAGATAAATGCTATTATGGATTAGTTAGTAGTATGTAAAGTGATTTATAACTTCACATGCCCTCAGCATGTGCTACATGCTCACTGTTTAATTTAAATACACCTTCTTTTTTGTTTATCACCCAGAAAGCTCCAGGCTTTGTGCGCAGTTTAAAAAAGACACTTTATCCTTGAGAACTTTGAGAGACCTATCAGTGTGCACTTATTATTAATACTTATAGGCATTAGTCACATTTCAGCTCTTCTCAGATGCTTCACTAGGCTTTTACTTTTATAGATGTGAATCATCACAATGCTCTGAATCCTTAGGGAGTCTGAACAGATTACAGCACGTTCTTTTTAACAATTCGTTGTAAGCAAGATGTTGTCTATGTTTGGCTTCCATTTGCAATAAACCACTTTAAATAGATTATAGCCTCTGATGCTCTCTGGATGGTCGCCTCACTCTCACTGTCTACCTGGCCAGCAGTGCGAAATCCCTTTTTTCCTCTCTGGCTCCGTGTGTGATCAAGTGAGAAGGATCTTATTTATAGTCGCGCAGGTAGGGCGCCAACTTTCCCTTGCGTATCGGAGCCTGTGAATTCCCTTCCTCTATAAATCCCTGTTTCCAAAATGAAACGTTAAGCAGTCGCGAGCCGCTGCAATGATTCAGAATAAGTGCGCCGTACCCGTGAGGTGCAAACATTTATCTTTAGCTCTCTCTCCCCCATTGCTTTTGTGTTTTATTTTATTTACTTATCTATTTACCCAGTTTCCCCCAGCAAGGCGTTAGAAAATGGATAAAGAGAGCGAGAAACTGAAGGGAAAATAATTTCCTTTGCTTGCTGTAAGATCCCTAAGTGGTGCGGATTCTTTGGGATGGAACATGCGGTCCAATATCTCAGGTAATGGATAAGTCAGTGTGGCCATTTAAAGTTTGGAGCGGATGTTGTTCGCTCCAGGATGCACATATTGGCTTTAAATCTTGTATAGGCCACACTTAACACTTTTGAATTGCTATCTGCATCACTTTCCCCTTTGATGACCTTGTGGCAAGACATGGACGGTGTGCGTTTGATGACTTTGTCGCCAGTTATGTGTTACTCCTGTGATTAATCACTCTTAATGAGAGAAAGAGGCGCTGCTTTAGGCTGGTGTCATTTCTATTTATTTCAAGGGTAACAGGTGCGCATCGCTTCAGCCAGGGCATAACGCACAAGCACACACACACAATCACACTATCTCTTTAGTTGCAAAGCCTAAAGGCAGTCATGCAGAAGGGCTGGCTTCAGCTGTGTCCACTTCTCTGTGTCTAGGGTGCTCATCATCAGCAACAGAGTGCATGTATATATAGCGTCCCTTCATAGCAAATGGTAAGGTGAGGTAGCAACAGGGTTGCTCGATTTTTACTTAAAATTTGCGTTTTTTTGTCAAAATGCAAAGCACCTTAAATATTTAAGAGTTTTTAATTTAATGTACTCTGTTGAGATCCTTCACTTTACGTTAGCATTACTCTAAATGCATTAAGCTGCAGTTCCATCGGTTGCATGGTGTCCTCACCAAGGAGCTCTCTAAATTAGGTTGGAATGTTTGGATTGGTGTTATGGGACGTCATACTGGAATCTCTTTTTTTCCATTGAAAAACAAAATATTTTTGATATTTTGAATATATTTGTTTTATTCATTAAAAGTAGCAAAATTTGTTTAACCTAAATTAGGGATAGAAAAACGCCTCAGGTTACTTATGTAACCATGGTTCCCTGAGTAGGGAACGAGACACTGCGTCCTCTTGGGGTCGCTATGGGGGTACGCCTCGTCGTGACCCGTGTCTGAAGCATACATTGAAAAAACACCAACAACACGTTGGCCGGCGACAGCCCATGACGTCACTACCGGTGCGACTTTTAGTATAAATAAGCGCCGGGAGAACATGTCATTCACTTCTTCATCTGAAACTTGCGTTCGAAGCATGGCAGGAAGCCTAGAGGACGCAGTGTCTCGTTCCCTACTCAGGGAACCATGGTTACATAAGTAACCTGAGACGTTCCCTTTCAAGGGAATTTCGAACTGTGTCCTCTAGGGGTCGCTATGGGGAACGGTATAGCCACGCCGCCATGCTGAGGGGAATGCGGGCCAGAACCATGGAGCGCACTAAGTACCAACTTTACCATTTTCATGGTGAGTTGCCCCTGGGACATCAGACGGCTGTCCGTGACATTATCCCCTACGGCCAAAAACCAATATGTTTGAGAGTCACCAACTCAGACATACAGCATGTTCCAATGCTGGAACTGCTAGCAGTAAGTTATCTAGCTGAGGGAGCATAGACCCAGCTCTCAACGAGAGAGGGGGCTCGCACAGCATGATCGTTAGAAATCAGAGGGGAAGAAAAGGGCAGATGTAAAACCCCCGAAGGAAATGAGTAGATACTCAAGTATCACTCTGATCTGGACGAAAGCGCTGACGCCTTGTCTGGATCACATCCCTAAGGTCTTGCCTACCTCCCTTTGACCCGCGATTCCTCCTACCCCTACCCGCAGGCGGAGGAGGAGCGCGAGCCGCGACACTAGCCTTCTGTGCCCGTCTCTGATCCTCAGACCGAGACGGACCAGGACCCCTATGTTGTTGGGCTCAGACCTGGACCTTCGTGAAGGCCGCTGAGCACACCTTTGCCTCCCTGAACTTCTCGACCACTGCCTAAAAGGAGGTTCCAAAAAATAAGTAAGGCGAAACCGGCGCATCGAGAAGAAAGCCCCTCTCTTTTTCCCGATATCTGCTAGGTTCACCCACAGATGTCCCTCCGTCACTACCATAGCCGCCATGGACCTGCCCA